ATGGATTGTGCAGAATGTTATAAAGGAGACATAACAATCGAGTGTTCCTAGGAAGTCGAATTGGAAGCCACTTGAGTTGCTTGCGACACTGAGATATTCGGTCAAATTTTTTGAGCCCAGATATGAAGCTGATACATTGATTTTGCAAGCGCTCGAGTTAGTTAAGGAGCTCCTTTGTAGCATCCAAATAACAGGCGTCAGCACAATCAAAAACTGGTAGGATAAGATTGAGCACGAGTGATATTTTAGCTTTTAGGGGTAAGACATTTTGAAGACATTGAATAAATTCAAGGTAAAGTTGACCTTATGACTAACCTCAGCGATGTGCGTGGACCATGATAAATGGTGATCAACTATGACGCCAAAGTTTTTGACAGTACCGGCAAAAGCTATAGGAACGCCGTTAAAGCAAACTTGAGGTAATGTGTAAATTCTAATTTATCATGCAAATGCCTGATCTCTATTATGATGCCCTGCGATTTCGTAGGATTAACTAATAGTACAAAGGATGCAGACCATTTACAGATGCGGCTTAGATCCACATTCGTAGCTTCAATTGCGTTATTTGTATCACACACCAGAAAATGACGATACAACTGTAAGTCGTCCGGGTAAAGATGGAAATTAAATGGAATAACTGTCGTAATAGTTAGTAAACATAGAAAATAAAAGATGAGAACAAACGCCACCCTGAGGTAACCCCGTTGTAATACCAGACCAATCAGTAAGAGTTTCATTAAGACGGACACAGCGAGCAACCTCGAAGTACGAATCAAACCACCTAATCGCAGATGGGCAAATGTTTATGGATTCGAAGATCTGCAGAAGAATATCGAAGTCTACTGAGGTAAAACCACTGCTAAAGTCAAGCCAAATTAGAAGTGTAAGAGACAGATATCATCTGTTACCTTAAGTAAATCAGTGCAGTGCTGTGACCAGGACGAAACCCAACTGATATGTAGAAAGCTGATATGTAGACCTATGGATAAATGTGTTCCGGAACATTAGAAAGAAAGGGTAAAATAGATATGGGACGAAAGTGAGATAGAGATGAAGGATTAGAAACCTTAGGTAAAGTAATTATATATGCTTGTTTCCTAACTGAAGGAGAAGATTAGGATGATATAGAGAAACTAAAAATGTGAGTAAGAGTTAGAAGAATAAGAGGTGGAACTGGCATAATCATCTTCGAGCATAGACCAACAGCAGTTGAAGAGATGGCTTGGATGAGTTTTTTGGCATCTTCCTTCGTCACAAGGAAACGTTGAAAAGGGAAAACGTGTGGTTTCAGGTTACGCAACAATGTGAGTAATGTGTTTGATTTGATTTAGTGATCTGGTCATAGGAGAAATAGCAAAATGTTTATTTAGATCATTTACTTTAACGTCTTAGAATTGTAAAATCGAAGACCTGCCGACACCAACAGAACGAAAGAATTTCCTATTATTAGAATATATAGATCTTCTATTATGGAGAGAGCCATAAAAGTAACGTCTTTTAGCATCTCGACACAGATGACTGCAGCGGTTTCGTAAAATTTTAAAACGATTAAAGTTGTTTTCAGATGGTAAACATTCATACCTTCGCTTATCTTTGTTCCTCTGACTTATTAGCTTACTTATACCATGTGTAATCCATGGTGCAGGGTTATGCTTTATCATTACGCGTTTAAGCGGGGCTTGGTTATTGTATATCTTCAAAATTATGTCATTAATATTACAAAATTTATCATGTCAACAATATGGCTCCAATCAATATTACTTACATCACGCAGCAATGTCTCTAGATCTATCTATGCGATCTATAAACTCTTATAATTACTGTGGAACAAGTATTGGGATTACTATTTAGGCGGACGCAAACGATAAGAGAGGTAAATTAAATATTGATTTGAAAAAGATGCAGTTATTTGCCCATGCCGAGATAACTCTATCAAGAGAAGAAACATAATATCAAGCAAAGACGGGTTAAAGTTAGGGAAGTGGTGAGTTGCATAAAGGGGAAGAGACTTTTCTCAATTATTTGTTCATTATGTATTATAGCTGAATTCCAATTGATTTCCTGGCTTAGTATTGAAATTACCAAAATAATTTCTTTACGTGGTAGAGTCATGCTGCAGCTATGTTATGGTCGTAGCACGAATGAGTCGGCTCGACCGGGGAAGGACTACGCTCTCACAGAATACCAGCGTTAAATAGCAGCTTAACGCTGCTGTGTTTCGTATGGTGAGTGTAGAGAACCGAAAACCTTTTTTCTTGAAATGAGGCATTCCATCTTAGTCCTCACGGGTGACATCGCATCTGCATTTTAATTCGTAACCGAAGATAGATGTTGATATTTATGGGCCATAGCAACCACTTACCATCAGGTGAACTGTGTGCTCGTTTGTCACCCTATCCTATAAAAAAAATTGTTATTTATCCCGCCGAATCGACTTGGTGTTCATAGTAATTACCGTCTTATATTTATTAATGCTTATTTTGGCCGTGGTGGTGGACATGTTGCTACTAGTGTTAGTTTTTTTGGTGTGATATGGCTTCACCAGTGTTTGTTATGGTGTGGTATACAAAATATTAATATAATATAATTTAAGTAATGTATAAGCAACTTTAAGTAATTTCATTACATATCATGTTTAAATTGAAATAATCTGTACATAAATATAAATGTCATAATTACAAACAGACAGTACTACAAAAATTATTATATGTACATAAATATTAGCAGTGGCTATTGTTCTAATGCGGCGGTCGGTCCGATGGCGCGATGTCACCAGCAAACCGGTTCACCGCTGGCCGTCCTTGCTCCGATCGCTTGCCCTGCGTTGTGCCACCAGTAACCAGTACGCTTTCGTATGCCATACTGTTCGTCCATTTATTCGTGTTAAGACTACTGTATAGTTAATAAGTTTACGTAAGACTTCTTATCTTTGTGCTATCTTTACAAACTTTATATTTGCTGTCAATGTGATATTTCTATGCTTATACTTTTCACTCTATTCTCTCCTTCTGTGTTGTTGTGAAAGAATTGTGTATAAATGATAATTGTTCAACCTTAAAAACTATTGAATTTTATTTTACTTGCATAAGCATTCACATAAACTAATAAATAGAACTATAAAGTGGTAACCCCGTTAAAGTGCACAATATAAATATGAGTGAGAAACAAAAAGCCGCCGAACAAAGTCTCGCCTCATCATCTGATGTTTGTCGAGTCGGCGTACGAATACCGCCATTTTGGCCAGAAAAACCAGCAATTTTGTTTGCGCAAATCGAAGGACAGTTTGCGATGTCGAATATAACAGCAGATGCAACAAAATTTTATTACATAATAAGTCAACTCGAACCACAATATGCATCAGAAGTCGAGGATATAATTATCGCCCCTCCAAATACAGAGAAATACGAAAAGCTAAAAACAGAATTAATTAAACGTTTGTCGGCTTCGAGAGACAAAAAAGTGAAACAATTACTAATGCACGAAGAGTTAGGTGACAGAAAACCTTCGCAATTCCTTCGGCACTTGCAACATTTGGCTGGACCAGATATACCTGATGATTTTCTTCGAACTATCTGGATGAGTCGATTACCCAATAGCACGCAAACAATCATCGTGTCAATCAATCAAGCATGTACATCAAGCCATGCACCAGAGGACAGAGTGCAGAAATTGGAAGGTCAAATAGCTGAGCTCACCAAGCAAGTGAAGACCCTAACAACTCACTTAAACAAGAGGCGTCCTAAATTATGTAGTAGAAGCCGCCCGAGAAGCAACACCAGATCTCCTTCCAGTCACAGGAGGTTCCCTACGTGCTGGTATCATAGTAAATACAGCAATCGTGCAAGTAAGTGCATTAAACCTTGCGACTATTCTCAGTCGGGAAATGTGCAAGGCAATCGATAACGGCGACCTACGATTGCCCAAGTACTGGTCGCTTATTCGTTACTGACCGCAATACGAAGATGCAGTTTCTCGTTGATACAGACAGCGATCTCTGTGTATTCCCGCGAGCGGCTTTTGAAGAGGATAGGCGAAAAATTAATTATTAACTAAGTGCAGCTAACGGTTCTGTAATAAATACTTATGGGTATATCCATTTAACGTTAAATTTAGGTTTACGCCGTGACTTTACTTGGCAATTTGTGGTAGCAGATGTAACAAAAGCAATTATCGGTGTAGATTTTTTGTCATTTTACAATTTGATTGTTGATTGTAGAAATAAACGCCTTATAGACGGCGTCACATCACTCTCCACCATTGCTTTGCCTGCTAATTTAGATATATTTTCTGTGAAGATTGTTACTGGTGATTCGGTTTATCATGATGTCTTAAAAGAGTTTCCGGATATTACACGCCCAGCAGGGGTTCAAGGTGTGTCTAAGCACAATACAGTGCATCACATCCGAACCACTCCGGGGCCGCCGGTAGTCTGTACACCTAGGCGACAATCGCCTGATAAGTTAAAAATAGCAAAAGAGGAGTTTGCAGCAATGTTAAAGGTTGGTATTGCTAGGCCTTCAGAATCACCATGGTCGTCGCCATTGCATCTTACACCTAAGAAGGATAATGGGTGGCGGCCATGTGGTGACTACAGAGCACTGAATGCTAGAACAATTCCAGACCGCTACCCCATACGCCATATTCAGAATTTTGCTCACAATATTTCCGGTTGTAAAATATTTACAACGTTAGACCTAGTGAAAGCCTACAATCAAATTCAACAGATACAACAATTTTCTTCATATAATTTAATTCATATAATATAATTCAACAGATATTCCTAAAACTGCTATTACAACGCCTTTGGTCTTTACGAATTCCCGTACATGAATTTCGGGCTCCGTAATAGTGCGCAAACGTTTCAGCGTTTCGTAGATGAAATAACTCGTGGCCTAGATTTTTGCTATGCTTATTTATAAGATTTTTTAGTGTACTCAAAGGACCATGAGACACATAAAGATCACCTTCGTCAGATTTTTACTCGTCTAAAGAAGTTTAGGATGGTAATAAACACAGCTAAATGCGTATTTGGGTCTGACGAGGTTATATTTTTAGGCTATCATATTTCAGCAGAGGGTTTGAAGCCACAACCATCCAAAGTAGAAGCGATTAAAAGCTTTCCAAGACCAAAAACCGTCAAAGAGTTAAGAAGATTTTTGGGCATGCTTAACTTTTACAGAAGATTCATCCCCAATGCAGCTAAATATCAAGCGCCTCTGAACGAACTCTTGACAGGTGCAGTTAAAGGTTTTCATCCGATTCAGATGTTCACGGAACAAATAGAAGCATTTGAATCATGCAAGCAGAGCTTATGCCAAGCTACACTTTTAGAACATCCTGATTGTTCTGCTAAAATAGCTTTGATGACGGATGCTTCGGATACTGCTATTGGTGCTGTATTGCAGCAGCGTAAGGAAGGTTCATGGCAGCCACTTGCATTTTTCTCACAAAACCTAAGTGTAGCACAAAAAAGTATTCGCCATATGATCGCGAACTTCTAGCTGTCTTATGAAACTATCAAGCACTTTAGGCATATGCTGGAAGCTAGAGAATTTACTATCTATTCAGACCATAAGCCCCTTTATTACGCATTTCAATCATGTAAAGAAAATTGCTCACCAAGACAGTTCAGACACCTCGATGTTATTTCTCAATTTACTACTGACATCAGACACAACTCAGGAAAGAACAATATGGTAGCTGATACTTTATCAAGAATCAAAGACATTACTCAGCTCATTGATATGACAGCGTTAGCTAAAGTTCAAGTCTCCGACGCAGAACTACAACAACTCCTGAACAGTAGTACTTCCTTATGCCTCAAAAAACTCAAAATACCAGGTACTCATACTGTACTGTACTGCGATGAGAGAAGCAATCCACCGAGGCCATACGTAACAAAGGAACTTCGAAGGCAAGTGTTTGAAAGCCTTCATTCTCTGAGTCATCCTTGGGCGAACGCCACAGCCAAACTGGTATCTGAAAGATTTGTGTGGCCAGGTGTTACAAGAGACTGCCGAGAATGGACCAGAACATGCTTAGCATGTCAACGTGCAAAAATCACTAGGCATGTGAATTCACCCATTGGCACTTTCAAATTACCGTGTGCTAGATTTATGCACATTCATATAGATCTGATAGGGCCATTACCATTGGCGCAAGGATACCGATATTGTCTCACAGCAATCGATCGATTTACTCGATGGCCTGAGGCAATACCGTTAGGTGATATTTCGGCAGAAACAGTAGCTAAAGCTTTAGTCTACGGTCGGATAGCTCGTTTCCGATGTCCAACAGACATTATATCGGATCGCGGAAGACAGTTTGAATCAGCGTTATTCAAGCGCTTATCAGATATGGTGGGATTTCAACATAAAAAAACTACAGCCTACCATCCAGCTTGCAACGGATTAGTTGATCGGTTTCATAGACAACTGAAGGCCGCCATCACCTGTCACTCAAATTAAAACTGGGTCGAAGCTCTTCCTTTAATATTGTTAGGAATACGTAGCACTTTTAAAGCGGATCTTCAAGCTTCATCAGCAGAATTGGTTTATGGGGAAGCTATTAGACTTCCAGGCGAATTCTTTGTACCGCAAGCTGATGGGACAGTGGATGTGACCGAGTATATAACACGATTGCGTACATTTGCGAAAAACTTACATCCATCTCCAGCGTCAAGGCATAGTAATAGTCGTTCAGTCTTTACCTTTCAGGATCTAGCAACAACCGACCATGTTTTTCTAAGGGATGACGCTCGTAGATCTTTACAGCCTGCATACTCTGGACCCCATAAAGTAATAAGCAGAGGAGATAAAACGTTTAAAATTCTTTTTAATGGTAAACCAGTCACCGTATCAATAGATCGTATCAAACCTGCATTTATATTACATGATATAGACAAAACAACACACACTAGCAACACCAACAACAATAACACTAACACCAAGATCACACAAACCAGCACACCAAACATTGGACATAAAGTTACCATAAAAAAGACACGATCAGGAAGACATGTACGTTATCCTGATTATTTTCGCCCGTAGGCACGGTCTCTGGTAGGGGTATACAAAATATTAATATAATATAATTTAAGTAATGTATAAGCAACTTTAAGTAATTTCATTACATATCATGTTTAAATTGAAATAATCTGTACATAAATATAAATGTCATAATTACAAACAGACAGTACTATAAAAATTATTATATGTACATAAATATTAGCAGTGGCTATTGTTCTAATGCGGCGGTCGGTCCGATGGCGCGATGTCACCAGCAAACCGGTTCACCGCTGGCCGTCCTTGCTCCGATCGCTTGCCCTGCGTTGTGCCACCAGTAACCAGTACGCTTTCGTATGCCATACTGTTCGCCCATTTATTCGTGTTAAGACTTTACTGTATAGTTAATAAGTTTACGTAAGACTTCTTATCTTTGTGCTATCTTTACAAACTTTATATTTGCTGTCAATGTGATATTTCTATGCTTATACTTTTCACTCTATTTTCTCCTTCTGTGTTGTTGTGACAGACTTGTGTATAAATTATAATTGTTCAACCTTAAAAACTATTAAATTTTATTTTACTTGCATAAGCATTCACATAAACTAATAAATAGAACTATAAAGGGAACGCACTTCAAAAAAAGTTCTTGAAACGTAAACTGTCATTAGAAAAATAAAGTTCTCTTCTTCTCAATTTTCACACCATACAAGACGTTATTTTATTTCATTATTTTAAAAGTGGATATATCATTGGACATTCAACCGGATTTTCACTGCTGAAAATAAATAAAAAAATCAATTGAGTTAGGATTAAATCTGTTTTTACAGAAATCCCAGCGGAAGTAGCGAAGTATTTTCTAGGCGGCCATTAGCGGAAAATGGAAACCTTTATGGTGTATGGTCAATGTATTGTGTGTTTGTCGGAGCAAAAGCATCGGCAATTCTACAATTCCTACTCCAGGATATTACGACGTTAAGGATAGCACTGTGGTCATACTCGTAGCAGATACAAGCCCAGCAGGGCTAGGGGGCGTGTTGGTTCAAATAGAGAGTGGAGGGCCTCAAATCATTACTTATGCTCATAAAACGTTAACCAATTGCGAAAAGCAATACTGCCAAACAGAAAAAGAGACTTTGGCTCTTCTTTGGGCAGTAGAACATTTCAATATATTTCTGTACGACAAAGAGTTACGGATCATAAACCACTTGAGCTCATATTTGGACCCGAGTCCAAACCACGTGCTAGAATTGAGAGGTGGATATTACGTCTTCAAGCTTACAAGTTTAAGGTCATTTTCAAACCCGGTTTATCACGACTGTGCAAATTGGAAAACTACTCAATAGATAGACTGCGATCTGACTGACAGCTGTTACATTGAAAGATATTATAGAGTATTCAAAAGTAGATCAAGAAATACTAAAAGTGACAGAAGGCTTTTACAATAATAAATGGGATGAAGGAGTAAGAAATTACAATTTTTTTCAAAGCAAGCTATATTTTATGGGGGAATTTTATTAAGAGGGTTCAAAATAGTAATCCCTATGTAACTACGCAGCTAGGTTCTAACAGCAGCTCATGAAGGACATCCAGAAATAGTGTTAATGAAGGCCAGGCTAAGAACCAAAGTATGGTGGCCAATGTACGATAAAAACTCCAAGAACTTGGTGAAGTCTTGTAAAGGCTCCACCCTTGTGTTGGCACCAAATCCTCCGAATCCACTAAAACGAAGAAAATTACAATATGAGCCATGTGCGAACATAGCTATCAATCTGATGGGTCCTCTATCAAGCGGTGATCATATATTAGTTATTGTAGACAACTGCAGTCGGTATAAAGAAATGAAAATATTATCTCGCAAGATCACCAAAGCAGAGATCATACAAAATCTCAAAGAAACTTTCAGTTGACTGGGTAACCTGATGACAATAACTGCTGATAATGGAATGCAGTTCTGCAGTGAAGATTTCAAATTATTCTGCACTAAAAGAAATATTAATTTGCATAATACAATATCCTACTGGCCTTAGCAAAATAGGGAAGTTGAGCATCAGAATCGAGACATTTTAATACGCCTAAAAATATGTCAAGTCGAGAAAAAGAACTGGCAGGTGGGTTTGTTGGATTGTATGACTATGTACAATAGTACACCTCATAATGTGACTGCAAAAATTTCAGCGGAACTGTTCTTCAAACGACAATTCCGTGATAAAATCCCATAGCTGCAGATATTACTCATGAACTTGAAGACTCTGAGGTCAATGAAAGGGATCATGAAAAGAAAGAAGTTGGAAAGGAATTTACAGATAAGAGGAGCAAGGCCAGAGAGTGTGATAAAAATGAAGGAAGATGAAGAGATCTTGGTGATCAGAAGAAGGAATTAAATATTGGAAAGAATAATGAAAGAGTAGAAAGTGATGTAGAGGAAATTATAGATTAGAACCGTACAAATAAATAATAGTGAAAATTGTTAAGATACTATGAAAGAAATCAACTTTAATAATACTTACTTACTTACTTATCTTCACGCACAATCCCTGACGGGGTAGCCAGAGAGAACAGATCGCCAAGTGTCACGATCCTTACAAACCTCTTTCGCTTCTTTCAGATTCATTATCTTCTTCATGCATGCACGTCTAGGTATCCGAGTACTTTTGACCCTACCCTCTTCGAGCAATTTGCTCACATGGTCTTCGAAAGTTAGTCTCGGTCTACCTCGACACCTTTTAATATTAACTTTCGCGCTATATATTTTCTTCACCATTCGGTCTTCACTCATTCGCTCAACGTGCCCAAACCACCGAAGCACGCCCTTATCAATTTTTGTGATAAGGTCATCTTTCAAACCTGCCATATTGCGAATCTCTTCGTTTCGCTTTCGGTCGGCCATGGTAACGCCGCACATTTTACGAAGAGATCGCATCTCCACTGCATTCAACTTACTTTTATGCTTCTTCTGGCATACCCAGGTTTCGCTGCCATATAACAAAGTCGGTACCAACACTGCGTTATGTATTGCAAGGCGTGCACTCTTCGCTACGCCTTGCCTTTTGACTAACGCAGTCAGGGCACCATTGACTTTGTTCCCGGCAGCGACACGCCTGTCCACATCTAAATCACATCTTCCATCCCGGCTAAAAGCACTCCCCAAGTATACAATTTCATTTACCTGTTCTAGACATTCCTGATTTACCCATATTTCACACTTCGTTCTCTCTTCGTCCCTTTCAAATACCAGAACCTTAGTTTTATTAGCATTCAAACGGAGACCTTTAATTTCACATTCCTCTTTCATACACGTGACTAATGCCTGCAGTTCTGCCTCTGATGGTGCAATAAGCACTGCATCATCAGCATACAGCAGACAATTTACTTTAATGTCACCCAATTTCACACCCAAACAACTATCTTTCAGCTTCTGTAAACAGCTGTCGAGATACAGTATGAACAGCCAGGAAGACATGACACAACCCTGCTTTACGCCCGTTTGGACGTTA